CTCTTTTCCTTTGACGACGATATTGGAGGACTAACTGGTGAAAGGATCAACTCCATTCACAGTAGCAACAAAGTCTTAACACGCCGCATACTACAAACAACATATAGTCAGTCCCAGCACTACTCCTTTTGAAGTCAATCAAAGCTACGGCAGCCAAGCGGCGGGACGAACTACGCAAAAGTTTACCGAAGACCAACAACCTTTACGTCCCAATCAAAAAGCGAGTACAGAGAAATCAAATTGGTTTAAGCCAGCTCTCAAAAACGATATTGGATACTGGACCTTGTAAAACTAGCTTGTCCTCAAAAGATGTCGAGCTCCAACACGAGTTGTGGATAACAACTCTGCAATTAGCCGAGAAAATTCTAGGCATGGTTAGAGACACTCTTCCATGGGAAGTTTACACGAAAACCCCTTGCATTTTCGTGCATGAAAGCTATCGCCGTAACGTCTTCAAAAGGTTGCATGGCTTATCCTACCTGGGTATTCAAACTACCATCAAGCTCATTACAAGCCGGTATTTTCACCTGGTATTAATGAAGAAGTAGAAGAATGGGCTCATACGTACCTAGCTTGCCAAAGGTGCAAGGCAATAAGACACACCAGAAACATTCTTTGCAACTTTCTTATCCCAGATGCTCCATTCGGACACGTCCATATAGACCTGGTTGGACCCCTACCAGAATCTCATGGATATACTTATATCTTTTATGCGGGAGCCGGAAGCAGTGCCCCTCAATGACATATCTGCTGAAGTAGTCGCACACGACTTTGTCGAAAGTTACGGATGCTCATCCTCCAAAGCAGCTGATCGCGTGGGGCAATTCAGAAGCGACTTATTCTACGCCTTGACTAAAATCCTTGGTTGTATGCATTTTAGAACGATGGCCCACTATCATCAAACTAATGGCATGGTAAAACGTCTACATTGGCAGATGAAAGCTGGGCTATCAGCAGCAAACAAGGTACGTTGCACTGAATCACTACCGTTTGTTCTTCTAGGCATACAAAATGCCTTGAAAACTGATGCTGGTTTTACTGATGCCGAGCTACTATACGGCGCAAAACTACAACTGCCAGGTGAGTTCGTTTCTTCCTCTAACTTCCCACAAGCGGTAGATCATGCCTCATATGTCAGTAGGCTTACAAACGTAATGCGTTCAGTTAAACCTGCTCCCCTCCGACTACAGTCTATAGACGTCTTTGTTCACCCGTGTTTGAAAACTTCTTCACATGTATTTGTTCGTGGTCACTCTGTGCGTCGCCCTCCAGAACCCCTGTACGACGGACCACAAAAAGTTATTAAATGTGTGGATAATTTTTTGACCTAGACAGAAAGGGTCGCAAAGACTCTGTTAGCATCGACCATTTGAATTGGGCCTACCTGGAAGTTAATCCCATCAGCCTAAAACTAAGCATTCGCAATAATTCACAAGTAACCGAATATTTGTTGGTCCTCAAAGAAGTCACTAGCACGTTGAAAGCCACCTAACCTTCTGTCGAGCTCTAAAAAACGCGTTCTGAACGAACTGTGAGATTCCCAGGACATTTTCACACTTATCTCACATAACAAAATGGTGCGACTCATACAATTTTTATTCGTTTGTGGAACATATTTTTTTCATTGCATCCCGCATCATAAGTCACACATTTTATAACCGTACACTGAGAAAAACTATGTTTTTCCGATGTTCAATTTTTCGCATTATTTTTCTGTATGGCAGATGTATACTATCATCCAAACGTTATTTTTGGTACATTTTCCTCGACAAGTTTCTCAGCACTTTTGTTTTCTTTTCCAGATGCAAGGGGCACTGGATAAGATGCAAGCGATATAGCAGATCCAACGGACAAGCATAAACGAAGCGATGTACACGCACTCAATTAGCATAGGTAGACAACCAGTAGGCAATCTATCAAGCTGATGATAACGCCATTGGATCTTCGCCACTAGGGTACATATGTAACGACAGAGGACAAGAGTCAGGCAACAGATCATTTATTAAGGAAACCAACGCATATTTATATATGTTTCCATGTACATAACTATGGATATTTAAGCAAACAAACACAGTCTTCCGATTGGTTGTTTCTCACGTAAAGTTAATCTTTCATCTATTTGTGACTGTTTCTTGAATTTCAAATACTCTATATGTTAACTGCATCCGCCCACGCAAAGTATGCTGTGGTCGGTTTTGAATCAATCTTTTGTTCACATTTTCTCACCACAAATCTTGGGAACGTAAATATTGACGTAAATTACTGTCTACAAATTTGGCTAGTAGACAGCTCTCACCACACATATATTGTCAGCTGTTGGTGTAAGTGCCTTCCGTCCGACGCTGAGTTGTTCCACATCCTCATGGCATTCAGTGTTTCATAGGGCGTCTCTTGGGATGATTAGATACCGCTACTAAATATGCATATCTTAATGTCTGTCACACATTAGCTCGAGAGCTTGTCAATCAGGCTTCGTCATGCTGATAACCGCTCACAAATCTGCCCACTGTTTCAGCAAATAATTGGTCCCTGGTACTTTTTGTGTGACTGTTGCTATGACATACTTGTAATTACAGTACCTCTCAATCCAACTTTCGGAAATACACGATTCGAAAAATAATGTGTGAGTCTCTTTGAAATATTGCAAAAATATTCATTCAGACATCTATAAAAAACACAAAATAATCGAGCAAAGAATATTCTTTTCGATAAATTCCTCTTCCAGGCTCTACAATTATGTATGTGTTTATATACACAGAATATTTTAAATCAGCAATAAATGTGTGATGCCGCAAACACTAGTCACAGCGGAACACTTTAAAGTCAGGCTAACCAATGTGTTACAACATGAAACTTCAAGTCTGAGGGAAATTCAAATAACAGATATAAAATATTTCAAAAATATAGTTAAGATCTAGTACCACGAATCTTAACAAAGTTGTTTGCAGAGCTAGTCTATGCATTGAGTGGACCTTGCCTTTTCCCTGACGGATCAATACAAATTTGTGACTGATGGTTGATGAGGAGAAGTATCATACCGGGTTCATATGAGTAATGCCGTTATGGAATTGTAAAAATAGATGCTATGTTGGCAAGTTTCGGTACATAAAATACTTTTGAACATCAGTACCAAAGTAGCTAATATATTGTCTGAGTCTTCATTAGATAAGCTAGCTCAAGAGAACGAATCACACTTTACCAAATCCTTTGTGTAAAAGAATAAGAAACGTCTGAGTCACTTTAAAGTCAACCATAACACTTCTGTGACTTCTGAATTAATCACCTTAGGCGGTATTATAGATAGGACAACCACTAGATTTCAATACATCACTACGGAATGAAGGGTGGTTTTCTTCTAGAATCCATGGGTACTAGGTAAGAAGGATGCCCATGAACATCAAAACAGTATTTCTCTGAAAATCTGTGCACTGGTAACTTGCTTCTGGATCTACTTTACTGAGTAATAATTGTGCTGTGTCGTTCTCCACATAAAAAGCCAATGACGTAACGCATATAAGTGTCTAGTCTTGCGTGGACACGTACAGAATTACTAACTCGACTGCAGAAAAATTTGGAACAGACTGATTAAATAATAGCGACTTATATTATGGTGAAGCGTCGGTAGCACAGCGGTAAGGACACTCGCCAACCATGCACATGGTCCGAGGTTCGATCCCCGGCCGACGCACTCCTTTACCTCACTAAGCCAGAAATAAAAGCTGGTAAAGAGGAAAGGTTGGGCATGAGGTGGCTAGCAACCCCATCCTGTAAAAATAAACGCTGCTACAGAAACTTCAAGCCCTTAGCTTGAAGCTCTATGTTCCACTAGGAAGGTGAAGGAATAAAAAAATATTATGGTAAAAGCTGGTTGCGGGCCAAAATTGTAGACAGCAATTTACACCTATGTTTACGTCCCGAATCGGGGTCCCGAGAAAAACAATAACTAGGCCTAGCCTTGAGAAACTCACCAACCAATCACAGCAGACTCAAAGTGTCCAAACACGATTCGCAGATATATGGCTTAACTTCCTGAGAGACGGTCACAAGCAGTACAGAATAACCTTCAGCAAGAAAACAACCCATCAAAAGAAGTTGCTTCTCTGATACATTAACGAGGAATGATTTAACATAAAAAATCTATAAATATCTCTTGATTTTCTCAATAAAAGATCTGTTGCCTGGCCCTTGTCTTCTGACGTTGCAATACGACTGCCAGCTGAACCCAATTTCGCAAGTTATGACATAAACTTGAGTGGGGAAACTCTATTGTTACGATGATAAGATTATTGACCGTGGCGTCAAGCGCTATATTGCGCAACTGAATATATCGAAACCTGAGACATCTCATATACACTAAACATATACAATAAGGTGAGTCATGACTAGTGCTAACTGATTATTGGTTCCGAAGTATAAATGACTGACAACTTGCTTGGTTTCCTCTTACTTAACCTATGTAGACATGCGCCAGTGGTTCAACGGTAGAATACTAGCCTGGCCTTGAGATTCCCTCAAACATCACTTAACTGCTAGCAAGAAGCCTAGTAAAGAGGAGAGAGTTTGAGCGTGAAGCTAGCAGCTCCACGCCATAAAAACAACACCACTACTACTGGGACGTTGAAGCCCAGGCGAAACGTATAGAGAAGCGAAAAATGTGACCTATTTTGACAAAATAAGAAGGCATTTATTTAGGTAAACAAAATGAAAATTATATACAGCCAGAAAAAGAAGCACCATAATTTTAATTTATGCATAGAATTTCTTATTCTGTTTATTCTTCTTTGCTTTTTTAGATGCTTGAATTTTAGCATATTTTTGGTATTAGATGGTTGGAGGCAATCGGCAGGAAGCCTTGCCGATTGCCTCCAACCATCTAATACCAACAATTCACAGTGCACCGTAATGTCGAGCCACCTAGCATGGTGGCCACATTGCAAACATGACTGATAGAATTCAGTCTGCACCGAAAATAGGACTAGACACATTACACTAGTTACTGACTAGTGTGCAATCAAAAATTTAGCATATTTTGTCTTGATTGGCTGTTCATAACGAACCGCCTCATTGTCATCTTCATCATCGCTCATTTCATCGTTATGCATATTGTGATTATCGTTCACTGCTTCATCGTTATCCTTATTTGTAAATGTAACACCCCATCCAATTGATTTATTAACACGATGCGTCTCTTTCAACTCAGCTTGCTCCTTCTTCTGTTGTTGATTCAGCTTTGCAATGCACTTCCATGTTTTACGTGCAGCTGCTATCCCAGCCTCCCCAGATGTTTTCAACTTGAAGCTGGCCGGAGGTTTAGGCAATTTACGCTTGGAGGATTGTTTTTCTACAGCTGATGAGTCATTATCACCGTCACTATCAGATGATGATGATGATGATGATGGCGATGAGCGGTTTTCATTATTGTCACTATCATCATCATCGTCATCACTTTCAGCATCATCACTGTTATCTGAATTGGCATACTCTTGAAGTATGTCTTCATCCATTGGTAAATCGAAACTAGGGAGATCATCATTGTCGACAGGTTTTTGACTTGCTATCTGTGCTCTAATCGTCTGAACAATCAGAAAAGAAAACAACAAATAGAAATATGGAATAAAAATGTATGTTTAATTGGAAAAAGGTACTGAATATCATATTGAACACACTTTTTGATGTAGTTGTGTTCTCTGAGCTAGGCGCATGGTTTATTTGTGAAGCTTTTATTGCCCCAACACTAGGCAACATCTTCAGCGCATACACTTCAATTTGATGAAGTGAGCTTTTAGATTTCTCCATGAGTCTACAAGTCACCTCTGCTGGTGACAACACGTTGTCAGAAAAAGCATCAAAGATAGGACTTCAGGTGAACATAGAGGAAAAAGAGGTGGGTGATGAAGATCCCTGGCCAAAAGCAACAGCAACAATCAGCCAAGATAACGGGAGAAATCTGAAAGAAGCAACCTCCTTCACCTACCTACCTACCTACCTACCTGGGAAGCATCGTTTCAAATACAGGCGAAACTGACGAAGATATCAAAGCAAGAATCGAGAAAGCAAGAGGAGCTTTCTTTACTCTCAAGTTTGTGTGTAGATCAACAGCACTCAGCATCAAAAATAAGATCCGGATTTTCAACTCCAATGTGAATTCAGTGCTACTTACTATACGGATCAGAGACTTGGCGCGTCATGAAGAGCATCTCAAACAAACTACAGACCTTCATTAACAGTTGTCTTCGCAGAATACCCAAGATCAAATGGCCAGCCGGAAAATATCAGCAACAGAGATCTCTGGGAGCGAACCAACCAGGAACCGATTGTTTAACAGGAAGAAATGGAGATGGATTGGCCACACTCTGAGGAAACCATCAAGTAACATCACTAGACAAGCCATTACTCGAGTGGAAACCGAAAGGGGAGCGGCGAGTTGGTCGTCAGTGCAAGGTTGACTTGGAGGAGGTCATGTGAAGAGGAGATGAAAGCATGTGGGCAGACTTGGAGACAGGTGAAAACTCAAGCAGAGAACAGAACGCAATGGAGACGCACGGCTGAAGCCCTATGTTCCTTTAGGAATTAAAGGAAATAATAATAATACCTGGTAACCTTGAGAGTGATTGGTTATTTTCGTGTGTTTTCACACGCTCTAGGCTACTTGTGTTGGTACTGATTGTTTCCTTGACTTGAACTATGACCCTTTGCGTATGAGATATCCTTCTTTATCGACTAGTAGATTTTGTCTATATCATCAACGTGTTTATTGAGTGACGGTTCACTGGAATACCATGTAGGCTTCTAAAAATTCTCTAGCATTTATGATGTTTCCTGTATCTAATATTTGAACGTCGTCGCAGTAGAATTGATGTCCGTGGTTGCCTGTATGCAGCGATATGAGTGATGGAATGGATGTCATGTCTTTTTGGATACAAAGACGAAGGGGACATCCGCTTTGGCCAATGTAGTGTTTTTCACAGTCATTGCTGTTGGTGTTATCTACTCTCGCTGTTGAGTCTTTCGGTTGACACAGAGTTGAGTGAAGTGATTTTGTTGGTTTCCGTACGATGTCAATATATGGTAGGGCGATTTTCTTTGTTCTTTCCTTGGGGGTCTTTGATTTGATAGGTTGGCTTGGAGGTATATGTCTTTTGATGAAATTCTCTGGATATTCATTCTTTTGGAAGGCATTCATGAGATATCTTTGTTCAATTTTCCTTGAGGTAGGTAGGAGTGCTGCAATGAGTCCTAGCTGTCTCCCTTGAATAGTATTTGCATACAATTCCTTGTGTGTGTTATTGGATTGTCGCTGTTTTAAGTGAGTATTTGGTTATTGTAAGCTGATTTTCTATAAACTTCATTTTCTAATTTTCCTATGGTTTTTCGCTTGACTAAGACGTCCGAAAATGGAATTAGAAAAAGAAAGCATCATATTAAACACATGTAGCTGACACTGTTGTCGTTATAGACACACTGACTAAGTGATGAGTTCCATTGTAGGACTCTATACAGCTGAACTTGCCACGCTCTATTTTACTATGAGATATACAGCGGTTCAGTACTCTCTGGTAGTTTTCAATGGTCGGTTCGTGATTGAAAACCTGAGATCAGTCAGATCCCTGCAAATCAACACTTAGAAATGAAATCATTTCCCACAAGTGACAAGCGTGTCATTACACACACACATGTTCTGTGGTGGACAGAAGTATACAAAAAAATGTCACAGCTAAACACAACCTGCATACAATGTGGTCACCAACAAGTTAGGAGAATGACTGAAGATCAGGATCTCATAAGAAAAAACAGGTAAGTAAACTAATCAAACAAACAAACAAACTAAAGCAGGTAGTTACAACATCATCACTACTGAATAACGATCATGAAACATAACTGGTGACATCTCGAGATATAGTGATTAGGATTCTCTTCAGCCCCGTACCCAGGGAATCCTGATGCTCCGAGAGATGAGCACTCAACACAACTATCATCTCACAGCGACACGTCATGGGATGAAGCCTCCTGAACCTGAATGGCATTGGTCAAAGCGAAAACAGGAATTAGGACGTGAACAGAAGAACCGGCAAAGACGCGACTTCCGATGAACAAAGAGAAGACGGAGTTAGGTGATGATTACAACTAACCAACAAACAACAACAAATAGCACCAACCACTATCAAAGGAAGTATCGTTTCAACTACAGGCGACAGCACGGATGACGATGTGAAAACCAGCTAGAATTGGGAAGGAAAAGGACTCCTCCACTACTCCAAAATCAGTTTGGAGGGAATCATCATCACCAGACCAGTATAAAGAACAAAATTCAGATTCTCAACAACAATGGTTGAGTCAGTCAGTTCTTCTAAGTGAGTAGCAAACTTGGTGATTCAAGAAAAGCAATCCCAACAGCCAGCTGAAGACTTTTATCAACAATTGCCTTCTCTGTCTCAATACTGAAGATCCAGTGGCTGACTAGGGAGAATCGGCGAAAAGAAACTCTGGGAAAGAAACAACAGGCGAGAACCTATTGCTTAAAAAATATGAAAAAGAAAATGGAGATGGATCGGACACACGCTGAGGAGACTACTGGGAAATCATGGACCAGCCAGGCCGTCACTCGAGTGGAACCCCAAGATGACATGGAGATCTTGCGGGGAGGAGGCCAGGGACAGTCGTGGGGATAGCTAAAGAGGACACCAGAGAACAGGGAATGTGCTGTTGAAGTCGTATGTTCCACTCAGAACCCAAAGGAATACTAATAATAACGATAATAGTAATACATAAGCCAAATGAGGCAACATCATCTACAAGATCAACTGCAAAAGCTGTGAAAAATATTCTCATTTGGACCACAGTGTACATCACTTTTTCATCTTTGCAGCCGACGTCAACAGACATGATATCTGTTCTCTCATATTATTGGATACAAACCACCACGAATACCAATTCGACTGGGGGAACGTAAAAATCTTAGAGAACCGATATGTCAAAAATGCGAGGGAATTTCTAAACGAGTGTTTACTGAACAAAGAATATTCTTTTCGATAACGCCTTATTCATCAGACTCTACAGTTACATATCCATCCATAATAGTGAATAAATGAATCAGTCTTATTAACAACATTAATGTTGTTTCAATAACATCGAATCAATAATATCAATAGATTACAGTTCAACAGTATCAACATAAAGTAAGCTGAATGTCAGAAAAATTAGGAAAGATAATATTACAAATTCATGAGTTCATAGTTTCTACTGATAGTCGGCCAGGGCAGTAGAAGTGGCTGTTTGAACTTGCTTCTGTTGCATACAAAGCATTGGTTGTTTCACGCGAATCGCGATAGCCTGTGCGGTATTTGGATGTTCTTGGTAATTTGTTTGGTACCCGATAGATGATACAGAAGCATTCGTCAATACTGGCTTTGTGTTCCGTTTGGACCAGGTGGTCTAATATCGAACTGTTTATGGTCTTTACTACACCTTTATTTAACCACACTGGTAGATGTTCCCAAGCGAGCACGAAAAAAAAACCAAGTTCCTAGAGCGACAGCCAATATAACTCGCTCCACATCACAGGAGAGCGTAGTTGAATGGGTAGATACAATTAGAGCTGGCTAGCCTAAAAGCCTGATATTCCCGACGAGTCTGTAAACAACAGACACACATATGAAATTGGCAACTGGTAATTTGAAAAAAAGAAGACATTCAGCGAAGAGACTCTTTTCGACGAATTCATTCACATAGCTGTACAATCGCATTTATATATAAATATTTGTGTGTGTGTGTGTACATGAGGTTTGTCAAGTTTAGATAATTGATTAGTTAATACAAGAATGATGTAGTATAGAGACAAAGTTAATCAGACAGCAACTAAAGTAAGACTGAGTTAAAAAACTAGATGACGTAATATAATTGGCTAAAATGTTACAACTTAGGTCAGGATAGCAACAGAGGTAATTACAGGTAGAGATTAAGTAGAAGTGAAATTGAGTGAATAAGTTGGATGACGTAACATGAATGATTAGAAACTGAGCATTGTTCAAGTCAGTAACAGTGGTAGTGGGGTGTAGAGATTGAATCGGGTGGGGGTAGAGAACAAGAAAGTTGAAAATGTAAAATGTTACAATTGAGAAGACAAAATAATACTAATGAAGAGACAGAAGAAAAGATTAGGTAGAATTTACATGTCGGCTAATAAGATAGATTACGTCCATTGCAAGTGTAGTGATTGAACGAACTTCTTCTGTATGCAGAGTTCAGGACTTAGCAAGTGAATCGCCATTGCTTCTGCAGTTTGAAGAAGTCTGATTCGTACACCTTTAGGGAGACTACTTCTTACTCTGTAGACGACTTTGAAGTTTGTTTGCGGTGTGGCTTGGTGTCCGGATTCTATCAGATGTTCTAAGATGGAACTGCCGGGGCATCGATTTTCTCCTTTGTAAAACCATGCTGGTAAGTGCTCGGTGATACGTTTGGAAAGCGAGCGCTGGGTACGGCCGACATACCCGGCTCCACACGAGCAGGAATTCGCCGAAAAGAGTCTCTTCGCTGAATGTCTTCTCTTTTTCATATGACTCAATGGGGATTT